GGAAGAAGAAGAAAAACCGAAACATCAACATTCAACACACCATAGAGCTCCAATATGCCAATAAATGTGTACATCTCATTAATATGTCACTTGTAACAGGAATATATCTGCTGAAGGTGACATATTTTTTAATTAGTGTTGGTACACTACTCCAGAACATTTTAATTAACACACCATTCTGCACTTTACCTGATTGCACAAGACATGCTGTTCCATCCGGCTTCATTATGGCACAAACTTGCAGTTCAGAAGTTCACTGGAGATTAATTAATGAATTCCATCTGATTTCTTTTCAAACATCTAATACTTTCCTTTAAAGAACCATAACAGAATTGCATCTGGCCTTCAAATCATGTCTCATAAAAACATCAACACCTGAAGGTGCAATTATGATCATGAAAATTATTACATCTTTAATCTTTCGATAATGTTTTTTTTAAATGCAATAAACAAAGTAATGATTTATTTATATGTGTGTATACTTTAAAAATGACATTCCATGTAACAAGGCTTTCGAACTACATATATACCCTATGTCAAACAAAAAAAATTATGTAAATAAACCATTTTCTAGAAACTTACATTCTCGTGTTGGGTGTCTTGTTGACGACGACGGCCTTTCCTGATTGATCCACATTATGATCTAGTCCAAAGTAGGCAGCAACTCTGTGGACAATCATCCGATGGTACGACGTCATGGGTGGAAACTTGAGCATGTGCTCACTACCAAGAAGAAGAGAGAGAGAGATAGATATATTATGGGACAGAAATGAATATGCTTATGAATGTTCTCAAATGATGGTACACAAAACACAAATACAAAAGCAAAAATTGAATTTAATGACAAAATGTTGAATACCCCTCAATATTTTACAACTGTGCAGTGGTGTGTCAACGAAAATCCCATTCCAAGGAAAATTCAATTTTTAATGACTAAACCATGTAGGGGTAATCAATTCCTCTGACTAGATAAAACTATCCCCATCAATTTAACACCCCCCCCCCCCCTCCTAAAAAACACAATAATGATATTAATAATAAATAAATAAAATTATTTAAAAAATGTATTAATAAATGAATAATATAAACAAATAAAGCAATTTCAATAATATGTTCCACGCCTAGAAAAAATGTATTAGGCGCATTATAAATGTGAGCTATTATTATTATTATTATTATTAAAATATTAAAAATAAATCAAAAATAAACAAATAAATAAATTAATAATGACATTTCATTCTTCTAAGCAATACAGAATGCTGCAGAATCCCTTTACAGTATACATGTACATGAATTTAACATACTAAGATAATCAATTCATTCTGTGACTAAAACTTCAACACTTGGATATATACATCTCCAAAGCTTGAATGTGGTCGGGTTAATGACTTAAACACAGCATGCCTATGGAAGTATCATACTCTTCGCAACATGCTTCAAACAGATTGTAAAGGCAATCTCTTTAATACCCTTCTAATACCTCAACAAGATTATATTTGTGCATATTGAGGGGTCAGTGACACAAAGACATAACTCCATATTTTGCCAAGATGAGAATCTGATATCAAAATGTTCAGAAAAATGTTGGCTTTCCAGGAAGCACAAAGACTTGACTCCACCCAACACCCCACTGAAGTCAATGGCTAGTGAAACATAGACTCAACTCCTTAAGGCCCAAGTGCTCAGTGACACATAAACCACTTTTTCTCAAAATGGCCAAAATGGAGTTACGTCTTTGTGTCACTGACCCCTCGATATCATCAACTTACTCAGACTGTATGAATCTGGTGAGCTCATTCTCAAGCTTGAGTAGCATGGTCCGGTCATTGGCCTTTTGTAAGGTATCAACAATGAATTGATGCAGGTCAACTCCGCTGGAATCTGTGTAGATTTCTCTTTCTTGACTAGGTTCTATTGCAAGGCAATGATGAGAATAATGAGGATGACTAACAGTTTAGTTACATTTATAACATTTTGAAAGATAATGATTTATATTGAATAGATTTCTCTTTCTTGACTAGGTTCTATTGCAAGGCAATGGTAATAATAACAATGAGAATGACTAACAGTTAGTTATATTTATAGCATTTTGAAAGATGACGATTTGAATGTATAGATTTCTCTTTCTTGACTAGGTTCTATTGCAAGGCAATGGTAATAATAACAATGAGAATGACTAACAGTTAGTTATATTTATGGCATTTTGAAAGATGACGATTTGAATGTATAGATTTCTCTTTCTTGACTAGGTTCTATAGCAAGGCAATGGTAATAATAACAATGAGAATGACTAACAGTTTAGTTACATTTATAACATTTTGAAAGATAATGATTTAAATTGAAAGATTTTCCTTTCTTGACTAGGTTCTATTGCAATGACACAAGAATATGGACATTAGTAATAATGCACCCTTTTCCACAAGAGCACATCTTAATGGTACACAGCATTATTTATATTTCACATTACATGCATTTGCAATGAATCAAAATAAAGTATTTTTAGGTTAAGTAAGAAACCTCGCAATATTCAAGCTTTTCAATGTGAACTCCCGATTGTTGTTTTACTAACTCGCAGAAGATGGAATTAATTTTTCATCAATTACGAATATGAAATATAACACAAGACCTGATCTGATTGTTTTTGAGCCATCACTATTTTAAGATTTCAAAGAATCCCTTTTTATACATAAAAGATTTTTTTTGTTAATACTATTTTTTAAAAAAAATCTGTAATGACTAAAGAGCATATAAAGGGAAACATTATCTAGTAATCCAATCCAACACAGTATCAGCAATTAAATGATGGAAGGAAATTTCACTGTAAATTGCTGTAAAAATACAATTCTTGTGATTCCCGACCATAAATAGCAAAACACGAGTGAGTGGGCAGGATTGACGTCAATGTAATGACACTGGAGTACGAGATTGCCAAATTGAGATACTGAATAGATAAAGGCAGATTGTAAAACGAGATAACTCATCACAACAATGCAGAAGCATTAGTATTTATGGAACTGGCGTTGTGTAAAGAAAACAATGAGGATCTTAGGTGAGATTGTATACCAATCGAGCATCTCCTCAAGGAATTGATAGATACCTGTTCCCTTGGGGTGTTTGTTACACTATCACAAAGTTTACAGGGTTTTAAATTGTCCTTGCCCATCTTTGTGAGGCAGAGGCTTCACAAGATGAAATGTGAAGAAAAATATTTTGCTGAGACAAGGAATAATGTCTTGATTTATTAAAATACAGAAAATACAACATATAATATGTCAAATGATGGTAATGATGATGATGATGGTGACGGTGATGATGATGATGATGATGATATGATGATGATGATGATGATGATGATGATATGATGACAGTGATGATGATAATAAAAATAATAATATGATGATGATGTTGGTGATAATGTTAGTGATGATGATGGGCAAAACCCATAGATAAAGATAATTATAAAAATAGAATAATGCCATTTTTTGTGATAATGAAGCCAGGCTACTTGAAATCCATGTCCTTATATGAATTACCTTTTTATTTTTGCCTGTTCTTAAAAATTTGCAAACCAACAGCAATTCATGAAGTGAAATTGGCAATAACAACAACAAATATACAGTATTTAAAAAAAAATTGTCCATATAAGGCTTCTTTTAAGTACTACAATTCCTAGAAAATAAGGAAATGATTTTAAAGAATGGAATTCTCATAAATTTTTGACTTTATATCAATCTAAATTCTGGTCATGACAGGAAATAAATTATCACAGAAAACAATAAATATTATTTAAAAAAATAATTAATGACCTGCCAGACAATTTTTTGGAAAAAAATATATAATAGCTGAGTAATGAACAAAAAAAAGGTAAAAAGAATATTTAATAAATTGGGCTAGCCACCCAGACTATGTATACTACAAGCTTTATTGTGACTTGCAAATGCTTCCAATATTTTTCTGGCCCACCAATTTACTGCACTATTCAAATTATTAGAAACCACTTTTCTTGAAATTCAATTCCATTACCCAAATCAAAGTTTAGCTTTAACATGCATTCATCTAGTTTGTATGATTGATTTTATTACCTCTTGACAGAGCGGGCTCACTGCGAGCCTCTAGACTGGCTTGCTTGTGGACTCGGTTAGACGGTGTCTCACCACTCAACTGGTGAGGAAGCCTTCGTATCCTCTTATCATCCTGTTGAAACAAGACATCACACTTTAATCGGAGCAGTGTCAACAAGTCAGAAGTGCGTTTACAAGCTCAATGCACTCTTCATTGAATTGAGAGAGAGAGAGAGAAGAAGTCGTTCGAGTTGGATGGTTTTCTCACAGGGAGTAGGGTTTGATTTATGATTTATGATTCAAGAAAGCATGAAATATTTCAGCCATTCAAATGACTTTCTAGGCATGCAGGTATTTCTTTCTTTGATGGGTTCTCTTTAAAATCTGATGGACAAATTACAGTAAGTCACTTGATATTCAATCATAGTTTTGCAGTACAAGGATCAGGGAAAAAAATACACGGGGGCTCAGGGCGAATTTCAGGTAGCCCCGAAACGCCCAAAAGAGCCCTCAAAAGTTTGCTTAGAGTTCAATCAAAACAAATTAAATAATGTTATTTACATGCAAGCAAGTTTGAAAAGTGGCCCCCAAAATTGTTTAAATAATTTTTTCCCTGACAAGGATATTCAATTGTATTTAATATTACATAAATACTTAAAACTTGAAATGAAGCAATATTCTGGCAGGATATAAAAAATCAACCATTGGCGACTTTCTCTTCAAAGTGTGCATTAGAGTAAATAGATCAACAGCCCCAAATTCTCTACAACTTTGTATCACATCGTGAATATTATTATAACCGCACTAGATCATTTGCCACGGGTATTTGTAACCCCATCATATTGAGGAAAATATCATATCTATTTTTGTCTGGTTGAGGGAACAATTTAATAAAATGTACCAGTATATCAAACTACACATGTATTTCATAATTTACTTTTGGTGTAGTTTTACCATAGTCAATAGCACTCATATCACTTTAACAGATTGTTGGGGTTGTTCTATCTTTGTTATTAGATTATACTCAATAATACACCTACAGAGCTTCAAATTAGCAGTTTCCCAGGCCACCTTGAAGTCCCACCCCCGTAGTGTGGGTAGAAATTGAGATATATTATTGGTGTAATTTCATTGTATTTTGTGCAATTGATCGTCAAGGACTAACAAAATGACATTGGGAGCCTACGCAATTGCAACCCACATAAGCAGTGAAGCCCCAAATCCCTGCTTTTCAAAAACAAAGAAGGAACTGAACAATGCTTTTCAGTTTTTCTTCCTACGTAAATTCATCACTCACCTCGCCAAAATTGAGTTCAGGAGTAGACGGTGGCGACATATCATCTGAAACAGGCTGGCTCCTTAGAAGAAATTTCTTTGCATTGGCTCTCCGTCTTGACGACGATGACTCTGCCTCCTCTTGCGATGTCTGCCTTCTCAATCTGGAGTTCCCTTCCCCTTCCGACTTGGCCCCTTCCTCCGACCCCATACGCCTCCCTAACTTGGGGTTGCGCCCCCCGCCCGACTTCCCCGAACAGTCATGTTTCTTGCCCTGTCCATCCGAGTTCCGCCCTCCCGGCGAGTCCTTTTTCATAGATTCAAAGGAGCGCTCTTTGCGCAATCGCCCCTTCCCGTTCCCGTCCCTTGTTCCCTTGTCGCTATCAAAAGAGCGATCAAAGGAGTTTTTCTTGGTGAGCATGGCATTGCGCTTGCTGTCCTGTTTCTTCAAGTCATTGTTTTTGGCACTTTGGGGCTTTGATTCTGGTTTACTGGATTCCGTCTTACTGTAGGTTGTGTCGGGTACATCGATTCGAATCTCCGCTACATCAGGAGACCCAGGCACATCCGCTGCTACCTTGTCCTTGCCGTTCTTCTCTCCTATCGTAATCTTCTGATCCATCCTGTTCTTGGGTTTGCTGCAGCGATTTGGGATCTAGTCTTGTAGCACTATCTCTTGTAAACAATGGCTAGTGACAGGCATCTGTAGGTAGAAAGAAGAATTTTGATTTTGGACAGGGTTTCAGCTCTTTGTAAACTTTTGTCCCTTGTGATGATTGAGACTATTTCTAAAGCACCTGTAACATAAATTTCGAAAAACATATGAAATAATGTTCTTCTATTCTTTATGAGATATATTATAAAAAGAAGCCTTTACTTTATCATAAATTTCAACCAGTTGGCAAAAACTCTGGACTACTAAATTCTTACTGATTTAATTGACTCTTTACTTTGTTGTTTTTCACGTCTTTGAATCTATATCAATCATATTTTTTTCTTGTTTGGTTTGGTTTTATCATCTGTATAAAAAAACATATTCACATACAGGTACATGAACATAAACAAATTATTATTACGGTTTTTGAAAAGAATATGGCTGGATAACTCTATTCAGATCCACTAATTCAATGACTCTGTTCTTCTTAAAGGTTCAGATCTTCCTAGAGGTCCATTATGTGGTAACTGTATCTGTATATTTCATCTGTATTATAGTGTACAGATATATACTATGGTGTTCAGTTTGATTTGATGTAATGTCCAGCATCTGTAGTTCAATTCATCATTGAATGAACTCTTAACAGGTAACCTACATTTCAAAATGAATCCAATAGACACATACATTTACCTCGCCTAAAAAGATGTACCGGTCAGAATTTTCAATGCTCGTCAATCAAATAGCGATAGTGACAATCAGTTCCGCTTGTCTAGTGCCCACATTGCCATTTGAAATGGTTAAGAATCACATCTCTCCATCTAGATTGAGCTAGTACACCCCCACAATCACACCCTTCAAGTATCATTATTTTAACCCTTCACCTAGTCTACTCATATAACTTTTTCTTTTTTTTTCTTCAAAATGGTATATGATTATAGATATTTAATCAATCTGGAGAGAGTTTCACAAAGACTAAGATCAACTTTAAGTTAGACTGAACTATGGCAAGCCATTTATTGGCATTGGTCTCTCAAGGGACGTAAAAATCATGTTCACAATTCTACAGACTTAACATGTTTTGATAATTCAATATTAGTGGACAAAATATTATCTAAAGATCGTAATCGAGAGACAAATGGTGAAAGCAAACAATGGCATGAATGGCCTGTCATAGTTAATTCCAACTTAAATTCAATTTTAGTCTTTGTGAAACACTCCCCTGAACTCATGCTTGGCAAACATACTGATGAAGATATAAAGAGAATAGCAAAGGAGGCAAAGAAATATTTAGAATACTATGAATATGAAATATGGGAATAAGAGACAAGGGTTAACCCCCTATTTTTCAGGGGAGGTAGGGGGGGGGGGGGGGGGCGGGCTAATAATCTTCAATAGAGCATGTAGTAGTTCATATTTCATAATTGGGCATGCCATATAACATCAATGCTTTGAATTAAAATTCAACAAGGGTATGGGGTGAGTGCAAAAGAGAGAGAGAGAGAGAGAGAGAGAGAGAGAGAGAGAGAGGGGGGGGGGGAGGGAACTAGCCCTAAACTTCCTTTACACCCTGGAGTTTCCCTCTATAGACATGCTACTTTTAAACATATATCTGGTACTCCAAATCTTGTATTCCGTTTAAAGAAAGTCAGGCTGAGTCTTACTCTGCAGACTATTCATGAAAGCAAGAGATAGATTTCTTAAAGGTCAGTTTACGAGTGAGTGGGCAAACCAGTGTCAACTTTCAGGGAAAGCAGGAACCGAGGTAAATTTGCAAGGTACACGAATGTTCCAGCAATGCAGAATTTAGAAATTCATGAAACAGAGCTTAAACAGTGATTCTCATTGCTTAAAAGTACTATAACATTTTTTTAATTTTTGTGACGTAACATTTATATGGGTAGCATGATATCTACTCACCCAAACCAAAGAAAATATTTATAACAATAACATTATTATCATTATTGGAAAACATCAATTTAAGAAACATTATTAGCTGTGAATTACGAGGCCATTTATATGGTGTTAATGATTTCATCACAGCAGGGAGTTACACCATTTTGTCCTAATAACCTTTTATAAAATGTAATTTTTGCTTTGTGATGCACACTCATACAAATGCATAACCTTCAGAAAAAATGTATTGTGAATTACTAATATATCATTAAATAAATTCATTGACTAATTGTATGATGTTCCCAGTAATGGAGACATTGGTGCATTTTTCTCTTTACACTGTACAGACTTTACCTATGAAATTGCCAATCATATTTCACCACACCGAAGAGAGAACAAACTCACCATTCTACCAGATGTCTTGTCAGATTTGGTAATTTATGTTGAATACAGATTGTCTTCTTGCACATGTTCCTTAAGGTGATGTAGAGGGTGACATGCCAATTGTTTCAGCAGTGTTACCTGTAAGAGGGGAAAAGGGAGAGATAACACAAATATTGTTACGATATGTATTATTTGTAAATCCTACGGGTCGATAAAATACCATAATCCAAGTTGCGATTAAGAAATACTTCATTCAACATTATTACACTTATCTCAATATTAATCATATCTGCAACATCTACAACAACAACAAAATACAAGTAGACTCAGAAGATGTGTCCCTTATATTCTTCTGATTCTTCATTTGACTGTTTAATTCTTTAAAATTTATATTATCATCATTATTTTATTCTATTTTATTTATCATTATTATTACTATTCAATTCATTCATTTATTCATTCAATTATCATCATTATTTATTTTTTGTTTTGTTTGTTTGTTGTTGTTTTGTTGTTGTTGTTCTTTTTTTGTTTGTTTGTTTTTTTTTTTTTTTTTTTTTTGGGGGGGGGGAGTTACAACATGAATGGTAGGCCTACCCAATGTATAGTCAGCTACAATTATAGATGTGCATATCATATCTGTAGACCAACATGTATACCGGTATGTTTGTGGATATTTTGAGCATTTTTAGTAGTATTGTGCAGTGTATGATGCATTAAAGGTGCGCTAGATTCTAAATACCCTACATATTGCACAAAATCTACCGATTTACCAACCGACATGCAGTTTCTCTCCTATTACCACGTATGCATCCAGGTAATTATTTTGTTCATGATTGTCCATTCTCCATCAAGCATAGATCTTGAATCTCAAGTCTGACTTGCAGATGGAAAAGGTAGCCAAGCGGAAGAGAATTGGGTCTGAATTATACCACCCCGGAGGATTAGCCTTGTTCAAGGCTGCGCGGATGATATGAAGCATGAAGCGAGATTGATTGGGATGGCCTACTGAAGACGCACCACCACGCAAGATGACCCAAGTTGAAGCAGGGGTCAAGACTTAAGGACAGTACAGTGAGAAGGATGTCTTGGAGAGAAGATAGAGCACTGATGAATGCATGGTACCGTATCTAATATGTGCTCATCCTTTCTTATACCACATTCCCTCATACCTCGATTAGCAGTGTCTTAATCTTTAATCTATTTGTATTTACCTTCAATAAACATTCTGTTGAGGATATGAATAAAATAAAAGAAATTATTGAAATAATTTCTTGTCTATGGAGCAAACTCATGTATCATAGCAAGAAGTTTTATGTTGTATTTGTCTTTACAGTCTAATTCACTTTTGCACGCACTTTACTGAGCAAAAAAAGGATGTTATATTGCACGCTCGTGCACATATAACAAATTATTGAGTGTCACATGACACCTTTCTAGCCAATAGCATACTTACTTACAAATACCCTGTTTCATATAATTGAATACGCAATTTTGTAATCAGACTGAAAAAGTCATTTATTGAAAAATTAAGTTCATTGATTGACATCGCTTTTTATATTTGAACAAAAATAAAATCTGCTTTTTGGGGCTTGTAAGTTCTATCATTTACTTGCGTGTTAAAACATGGAAAATCAAGAGATATCATTCACTAAGATGTGGGAGCAGTTTCACAAAGCCTTTTTTCAATGACAAATGACAAAAATCAGTGACAAATCTGCTGATAACTAATCAGAAGCAAGGATTTCAGTAGCTTATAACAAAAACTGTCATTTGTCACTGATGACAAGTTTTGTGAAACACCCCCCAGAAAGAGCACAGAGATCAGAAAGATCACACAGTCTTTGATCATATCATGTCAATCTTCTTCTTCCATCAAATAATGGAGAGAGGAGAGAAAAAATGAAAATACCAGACAAGATACAATGCACTTTTTGATTTTTTACCTCAGGACTGGAAAAATGAGGTCAAAACCGATAATGATAGCTCCCAGCACACATTTTAATATCACCAATTGAATTAGGATGGCGGTGGAGAATCAATATCAGGTTTTCCATTCTCTGGTGACAGATCTACTGGTAAACCTGTTCCTTTCTGGTCTTACGATGGATATGATGGAGGTATATGACACGTTCACATTTCACCGATACTCAATCAGAGACATCAAGAAACACCCTCCACATTTCCCGTTGTCAACATTTCAAGATGCTCTAGCCACGTTCTAACGATTGCTTTCTTCTGGGGGATACGTTGTGTAAACACCAATTTATTAAAATGCAATATTGCAGTGAAACGTCGCACAAGTATCCAACATCAATGGCCTATTTTTGTATTGCTAGGTAGGTAAGAAGGACCACAAAAGACTTCTTATTGTGATCAATGTGTTTAAATAATGTGCAGTTTTGCTTCAACAGCATTGTGGCCTCTCAAATTAAGAATAAAGAGAAAGAATAGTGCAAAAATAGCCCTGGAATAAGTAGAAAAATATAGGAAGAAAGGGGTTCCACCTTTTACAGCTATTGAAAACTAAAAGGAACTCTGATAAACAAGAATGTTATTGCTACACTGTTGGAAGTGCAAGCAGGAATATTCTTGAGATATATTCCAAATACAAGTTGGTCTTTGTGTTATAAAGAACACTTTCAAATGCAAGATGGAAGATCAATACAAATGAAGGACAAGATTAACTCAAACATTGAAAGTTACAACTGCAAACAAATATATTCTAAAGAAATCCTAAGAAACGATATTGGATGAATTGAAATCATCTCCTTATGAACCCAAACTAGTTTCTTATCTTTCCTTGCAACCGAATTGCTAAAAGGGCAATGTACATGTTCATGAATTTAGAACTAAACCCACAGAGGTACTGAAATGCACTTATTGTTGTGTAACACTTACATTCGATACCCTACATTTCAAGTTAGGATAGATTGAGTGACACGTGATATTCAGTTGGCATTTAAATATGCACCCTGTGCTTTAAATCTAAATGTCACGAGAATGTAAGAAAACATTGGCCTATATATAAAGGCACTGGCAATCAGTCCCCTACTGTGACGAAACCAGCGTGACTGTATATTCTGCTCTCCGTCCAATCGCCAAGCTCAAATCCAAGAATCAAAACAAACCGTTCGGTAAGCTGGGTCTATTTACATCAAGCCTTTTCAGAATGTGACGACAAAGTACGCATGGGGAAGTGAATGGCAGAGAAGGTCAGCATGGAAAGCGACGGCTTCAACACACCTCACAAAAACAGTTTTCCTGTTCGGTTTCCCTCCCAGTAGCTCTGTGGCTCAAAAACATCCGTTTGACGTAAAAACACAGTAAATGACGTGATATATTGTGGCTCAAACCTGACGTGTCCTTTGTCTGATGAGAGAGATATTTATAGAACTTGTAGATCCTACTGGGGTATATAAACAAGTTTAATACTGAAAGTGAAGACAAATATACTTAACTCGATCATGGGAAAGTGTTATCTGTTCACGCTGTTAGCACCTTGGTTGGAACAGACTTCTAGAAATTAATTTACTACAACAAATAAAAAGCAACAGCTTTTGCTCTACTTGAGAACTCTTAAAAATGTACAGTGGATTGACTGAAAAAGATATCAATGTGTGGAAAAACAAATCTTTGATTCAACTATCAAAATGTAGCTCCATGTGCATACAGTCCATGCAATGCCCCCCCCCCCCTCCATCCCTCTTATTTCTGATGAATCTCTTAATTATCCTCAGGCCACAATGGAGTTGCATATTAGACAATGCATTTTCACCACATATTCTCATATCTACAAACTCAGCTTTTTAAGACATCATGCATTCCTGTACAGATCTCATGCCTGCTTTCATCATTAAAATATATAGAACGATGGTCAAGAGAATATTTTTTAATTTGGAAGATATAAGATCATCTTGTATCCATTTCATGCACAAGTCATGTACAAGTATATCAGGTAAGATTAACAATAACTACTTATTTTCCAAGGGTGTTAGCTGAGCAATACTACAACCACAAATGCTATATTTCCAGCTTCTAACTTCACACCGTGTAACAATCAGCACATGATTACATTTAAAAAGAATTAGTTGAATCTACAGGTCTGTGTCTGGATACTTGTGAAAACAGGTCTCCAGACCTGCGATAGCCTTGGCTTTGGGCAAGCCATACTGCTCTAGCGGTTGGACTTAGCCACATGGAAAATGTGATTACAAATTCAATTCTCTCATTAGAGGCTGTATTGTGCAGAGAGGGGCATCGAAGGAGGGGTGAAATATTTTGGTTTCCTCATGACCAAGTGAACTATATGTAGGGTTCTTAATATCTTTCCATTCTGAAATCCATGCCTCAAAATACTGTGAAGTTTTCTAATGAATCAACATCAGGAAAATACACAGATTTATTCTGTAAAGAAAGGAGTAATACTCCTTGAAAAAAAAATAGAATGCACGAATGTTTGAAAATATCTCCATCTGACATAATTCATGATACTTAATATTATAACCTCATGCATAATTTGATTGAAAGAAACCCTAATGTATCCCTATTCTAATTTTTGACTCTGGCAACATGTATGATGTATTTTAAGTGATCCAAACATGGCACAAAAAAACTGCGGTGCATTAATGATCAGACATACATATATCTTTAAGTAAAGTGATTGAAAGCATTAGGAATCTGAGGCAAATCCAATTTTGAGTTTGCGGCCCGGGCTGAGAGAGCATGCATGCTGTCATCTAATCATGCCACAAGTATCTCTGTGACATTTTCTGCGACCTACAGACATGCCGACCCACTTTACGAAAGGAGGATACGGACGGATGGAGGACACATGATGATGAGGAAGAAAGAAAAGGAAAGATATGGAGAGAGATGGAGAGAGAGAGAGAGAGAGAGAGAAAGAGAGAGAAAGAGAAGGGGCGTGTGGTAAGATGATATGAAATACGAAAATGATACAGCACAGACTTGTGAAAAGAGTCACAGCCTAGGAAATTAATTATCCGATATAAGTACAGTCTTTACTTGCAGGCAGAACCAGAGAAACAATAAATGAATCAAACGATCTTAATTAAATTCATGTTCCAGTACATGAAACATATTGTAATGTTGCAAAATAAAGTAGATATGTATATTAA